CTTTACTAATCCTTTGAATTCAAATCTTATACTAGCGAATTAATATATCTAATTAATTTTCATTCTCAACCACAATTAATTTAAAATTAGACTTCATTTAAACATCTGCGTGGAATATTATTTGTCAAATTGGCCGTCGTGTCCAATATTTTCCTTGCTTGTTTTACTGCTGACCTCATCTCACTTTCGAAATCTTACACAACTCTCAGTCGAATATACTAAATCGTAACAGTCCAAAATTATGATACTCTTGCATATCAGTGCGTTGGTACACTTCTTTTTATACAACGACAAAAAAAAAATGATTGTCTTGCAATTCTTTTCCATCCAGACTAGACAGACTAAGTGCACCATTGCGATGGTAAATTAGTAGCATAAATCTTGTCAACATAGATTTAACTTAAATATATGACATACCAACACAAAACTGCACATAATAACTAAGGAGTGCACTCCGATCTTCAGAACATCGGACGAACTAGTTGGAAGTTGAAGAGGATCTAATGCAACCAATTAGATCCTCTCCGAAATATGCCCACTAAACATAATAATGAGAAAACAAACTAATGACATGGCAAAATGAAAATAAATGAAAAATACTTTAATAATATTATTATTAAAATTAAGTAATTCTTTATTAATTCTATATGTGAATGAACTTTAGTGGAGAAGTATAAATTGTCATTTACACGCTATTCTTTTTCTCTCCACTCCTATAAAACAATATTTTTAAAGTAATTTCGAGAAGATGACTGGCCAATTAACCAACACTTCAATAGTTCAAAATTTGCCAAAAAAAAAAAAAAAACGCTCAGAAATAAAAGATTCGCAAAACTGCAAATTGCTCCGTACGCGATCCGTCATCACTTCGTAATGCAACAAAGTCCATAAATCAAAAACTGACTTAAGGAAACACTATTTTTATCGAAACCAATTAATCACTTCAAAACTTAAATCAAAATTATTGTCTATTTAATATATGATAGATATAAATATGCATGACGTCAGCAAATTAACATATGAAAAGATTTTTTTAAAATCTACATTTTCAACTAAAAAAATGATATATTTAGGCATAACAGCACTTGAGGCTGTAACAATTAAAATCTTCGAAAATATTTAAATATTCTTTTATTTTCTGTTTACTTTTTATCTTTTGCACCTCAAGTTTTTAAGATGTTCAGATTCTTTAATTTTTGTTCCGTACTCTTCAAAACCATAAAAGCAAATTCTTCTGCGGTTTCTATGGCAATATTAGCTTCCATTTCGACCACCAACGTAGCTGTCAAAAATGGTTAAAAATATTTAATATGTTTTTAGTTTTAAAATTTATTTCGTAAAAAATTTATTGATTCTTTTAGAAAATCCTAGTGATCACCTTAATACTCTGCGCTTTAATACTGGTGCCTGCAAAATGTTTTTCATTCGGCACCAGCAGCAGTAGTCAGTTTCAAGGACCTGCACCAGATGAAATTGCTCTATCCACATATGAGCCCGAAGATGAATTCGAACCATTACCTGTGAGTAAACATACCAGCAGGAATGTCAGATCGCATGGCCAGGACAATTCACAGTCATATGCCTACAAATTTGTCAGGAAGTATCGCAGGCATTGAATTGATTGATTAGCAAAAAATTTGTTAAACTTAATTTATTGAATAAAGTTTTGTTTTAAATATAAAAATTTTAAGATTTATTTTAAACTGCAAGTATGAAAACTAATTTTAAGAAAAAATTCAAAATTGCATTTCTCAAAAAATTATGGTAAAAAAATCATTGCATCTCTACAATAATTGGATTAAAACTGTGTGTTGTCACAGGTTATCGGATGTAACATCTTGAGGCACCTAACGTGCCATTTTATCAAATGCGATCTGTCTGAAGTGATAGAGTAATACCATTTAGAAAAAAATGAAAATTAAGTCAAATTCTTTGTAATTGATCGACTTTGCTCTAAGCTAAGAAGAGGGGGACCTAATATCCCTGCACTCATCATAAAGGAATCTATTTTAAGTTTCATTTGAAAAGCTCTTGTTAACTTCAGGTCAGTTGTAACACAAAATATCTGCTATGATTGTACTCTTGGAAGTGCTTTAAGGTTTGGAGACGCAAATGACTTTAATCTTAAGTCACTAATAGCATATTGTAGCTATATGTTACTTATGCGATTTGGTCATGCAAATATTTTCTGAAAGAAATTTGTAGTTGCACTTTACGGATTTAATATTGGCATATCAGGTCCACTACATATCATCATATTTATTTCCCGAAATCACAACATAGCTTATAATGTTCTGAATGCATCTATTGTATCTATTGTAGAAGCTAATCATTTAAATTATGTATTTCATAATAAAAAGATAAATATTTTTTAGAAATTCAATTATAAAACAATTGTTACAAGAAAATGGATCATTATCAAATGGATTCGCTTCTACACATCCGAAAGATTTAAGGTTTCATATAACAAATTCTCTCATTAGAAGAAAATTTGTCCATTTAGCGTACAAAAGATAAAAATTAATTGATTGCTTCAGAGTATTGTCTTTTGATTTAAATATCATCTATTTATACTATGTTTCTATTAATCTAGTTAATGAATCATTATTTATATATATAATTTAAAACATTTTAATTAATATTTTTTTATTAAAATTTGTTTAAAACAAATTTATATATCTTTAATTTTTAAAATTTTTTTAGTCATAATTTACTATTTGATTTTATGACATTTTCTTGTTAAAATCTATATAATTTTTTTTTTATTTTTATATAAACAGAAATAATATTTAATATTTTTAATTTCTATTTCATTTGAAGTCATTATTTCTGCATAAAATAACATGTTTACCCTTCCGGCTATTTAATATTTTTTATCTAACCGAGTTCACATTAAACAATAAATTAAACTAGTTTAAAAATTTAAATACAACACAATTTATAAAATTTATTTGTTCAATTTTTTATTATATTTGCATATTAATTTTAGTTTTAAAATTTATTTAAATTGTATATAAATACTATTTTTAATATAGGGTAAAAATATAATTCTCTGAAAATTCGAACTAGTTTCATTGTGTATATTTAAATATGGCATATTCAAAAAAATATAACGATTTAGTTGTGGAAAATTTTGTTATAAACAAACAACTTTTGTTTTAATTTATACACAGTATAAACTATTGTATTCAGTTTTTTAATATCTTTGTAATCCAATGGAAGCCCGAGAACACACTATTAAATATATATATTCTCTTGGAATAGTTTTCAGTTATAATTAATGATTGTTTCTTCTCATTCTTATCTTTTGAGCTATAAGGAATATTTAATAGCAATCATAACAAAGAGTAAAAATTACTGCTAAATCACTCTTAGATATACTGATTAATATTAAGATTCTACCTAACATTACAAAAATCAAATTGTCTAGTCTATAAAGATACATCTTCGCTTTGAGCAATCAAACAATGCAGTTATAGCTGTAAGAAATCAAATTTTCTTAACTCTTATCTTATACACGTCGATCTTGTAAAAATTTATATTGCTATAGTTGTACACTATTTAATTACTACAAAAAAAAAGTGAAATTGCCGCAAAGCATACCAAAAAAATTGTGCGGGTTGTGAGGACGCTGGGAGTGAAGTCCGGACCCGGGTGTGATATGCTTGTCTCCGTTCCCAAAATATCAATGTCAAAGATGCACCTCACCCTGATCCGCCAGTCACTAAAAAACCAATGCAATTTGGTGAACTGTAGGAGTAAAATCAATAGCTAACAGAAGCAATAAACATCAACCACGTGCTAGTTTGAAATCAATAAAAAGATCAAGCTATGCAAAGACGCTCTATGTTTGGGTACTACACGAATTAACGCAAAGAACTTTGATTGACCAATGTATCATCAGTGAAACATTACTGAAGCGTAACGAAATTGCACTATTTTTAAGGCGAATCATGACAGATGGTTGAAAATAGACTAAATACGAGAATATCCAATACCAGCGATTATTAACAGAACCTCCCATAAACGACTTTTAAGCCAGAATTATTGGCAAATAGGAATATTTTGAGTATTTGATAAGACTGTAAAGGAAATGTCTACTAGAAGCTGCTTCAGCCTAATGCAGCGCTTAAGTCCATCCTCTACTGCTCACCGCTTGAACGAAGCAATCAAGGAAAAGCGATCAGAATTGAACAAATACCTTTGATGACTCGGAACAAGTTGAGAGGTTTTGATGCATACACCGTATGCAAAACTCTCTCGATGGTTAAAAATTGACTAACCGAAGAAGTGGGGAAAATCACACGAGTAAGTTTTTAGCCGTTAAATGACAGAAATTCAGCATCAATAGAATCAGAAAACTACTTGAAAAATGATAAAAGGTTATATATAATACTGGTCAATATATTTGTATACTTTCTAAAAATTTAAAGTTTATAAAGAAAATGTTTATTTAAAAATGTATCACCCAATATATCACCCAATAATATATTACTTAAGCCAAATATTTAGACACGTGATTTTGACAATAATTATATATTAAAATATCGAATAGTTATTTATGTTACCTACATTAGAGCTATTTTTTACGCTATGAAATTAAGCATTAATAAAAATTTTAAAATAATCAATTTTTCAAAACAGTACAAATACAGACACAATATATAGATTTTTAGTTACTAATAAATGATCAAATTTGTTAGTGAAGAAGTCTGTTTTGATGTCAATACATAAAGTCGCTACTGCATTTATTCAAAGTAGCTAGATTTTTTGTCTTTAGACATTTTAAAAGTCAACTTAAAACTAGAGTCAGTTCTGTATTTTTTGCACTATTTCTAATGAAAGCATTTTTGGAAACCAGATTAACCAGCATTCTATTGTGCATACCAGTATTTGTTATTATGAAATAAAATAATTAATTTTTTGTCATCAAAATACCCCCAATTTTGCTCATATAAATGCAGATTCCGTTTGCAAAAGTTTTGTCATTTGCTTGGAACGTTCACTTGAAAATATTGACGAAAATGGTAAGCACGGAGTTAAGTTCACTTCATTTGGATAAATTTTTAATTACTTTAAGTAAAAATATTCAATTAATAATTTCAAATAATTTGAAATAATAAAAAATTGCAGAAATTTTTAATAATTACTTTGGCTTGCATCTGTGCGGCATATGCCGTATCGATACCTACGGACTATTTACCACCTGTCAATGAAAATGCAGGCGCTGCCTCAAATGTGGTGGAATCAAATTTTCTTGAAAGTGAACCAGCACATACTTTAGCCGAGGATGGCTATCGTTACAAAACCGTGAAGCGTTTCCGTCTGCGTCATCGTCGAGATGTTAGCGAAATCACAAACAACTACCTGCCACCACTAAGTGATGATGCTTCTTCTTCAGTGCCAGTCTATTCGGCACCTGCATCTGCACCTGCTGAGAGTTACGCAGCTGAAACCATTGATGTACCCTCCTATTCTAACCCATCACATACTTTATCGGATGATGGTTATCGTTACAAGACTGTGAAGCGTTATCGTTATCGTCATCGCTTCTAAATCAAATTATAACTGCTAATTTCAATAAAAGAAACTAATTCAATAAAAATAAATTTCTAACAAATCTTATAGAAAAATCTTATAATTTTGTGTTGTGTGAAAAGTTGTTATCCAAGTCATTTTAAATATCGAACTAGTGACTCTAATCTTATAAATACGACACATTTTTAATACTTTTTAAAATATAAAAATGAAGTGTAATAACATATCCATATGCGAGTGTGTATAAAAATATATGTATATGTGCAGATAAACTTATACTAAAATCATATGTGAATACATAAAACAAATCGTGTCTTTGAATTATAAAGAAATATTAGAAGACTTAGAAGGTCCAAATTCAAAAATCATTACATAGGTAAACCAATAATGGGTATTAAGTCCGTGAAAGCATCGAAAAAATAAACCTCGAGTAAAAAACGACGCCCATCACCAAAATAAATTTCTGATATGATGACATACTTAGCTATTTTATTTATTATTAGTATCTGTCTTAACTAGTATGTAAAATACATTTACTTACAACTCATCTACTTCGTTTTTAGCTATTTTATCGTCCAGCATTTAGGCACACTTAGATTTTCCTAAACTTATATTGAAACTTCTTTTTTAGCACATAACTTACCCTATCATGACTTTTGTTGGGGTTGTGACTCTGCGAATGAGTAGGAAACTGAACTCCACCTCATGTGCTAGTGTCTATCATTAGTTAGAAGAAAATTCAAAATCTTCGGGCTCCGTTTCCTTTCGACCTAATTATTTACTTATTACTGCTATCCTTCTCTCCTAAGTGGAGCATAGAGACTCTTTTAACCTGATAGAGTTGTATAATTAGAAAGTTTACCAAATTATAGACCTATCAAGTTGGTTCATTTTCACTTGAATGGAAGAGTCGTGACTTTTAGTGTTATGTATACAATGACCACTGCAGTGAAGAACTTCTTTTAGGGGTTCTTCTGGTATGCGTATAAATACCACCAATCCCTAGCATCACAACCTATTATTATTTGAACTCAAGCTTGGGGCTTCGAAGCACAAGGCCGTAACTTTAACCTAACCTAACTTAACCCTAGGCCAAAATTTTCCTTGCAATTTCTATTCATATCAAACCAATCACTGCTTTGGGTTTAAATATTTGAACGCTTAAATTCTCAAAGGACTCATATTTATCATCCTTTAGTTAGAAGGGAATAAATAAGTAATTTGTTATATGTACCGTTTTAAGCCATATAGAGCATTTTCACCTTTCATTGGTAGAATAGGTTAAAACCATGAAACTTCTATTCCAGCACGTTGAACGTAATATTACGTTTATCTTCATTGAGGCATGCGCCTAAAAATACATAAGCGGTGAATATCGCTACTTTACATATAGTCAAGTATAACCTATATGAGTGTAAAGTACTTCAAGTGGACATGATAATTGCTCTGAATAATTCTAACAAGCTGGAAAATTGCAGTACTCTATTTTATATTAAGTTCCTAGAGCACAATAATAAAGTTAAATGGGTCAGCAGAAAAAAACATAAAACACTATAAAACAATATATCTTATAAAAATTAAGGCTATCTAAACTGGACAAGTTCTTTGCCATTGAACCGCAATGGATTAAAAAGCTCTGTTAAAAAATATTGGCGCCATACATGAGAAAAGCCATATACAGAGAAGTTGCAGGGATCTGCTCAAAAACTTATCTTGTAATAGATGAACGGAATGGAACAAAATAGGAAAATAATTTCCGGCAGATAATAGTAGATGACAGTTTAAAAGACTTTATCTATTCTATTCTATTCTACATCGTAATTTAGAAGTGTGCAACTGGACACCTTTGTTCTTTGGAAGAAACAAAAACCCCATTCCGGCTGCTCTTAAACATATACGATTATATATATGTCTATTATAAACAAAATGGAAATTCTCATGCTCATTTTACTTGACTTAATTCGTAATATGAAATATCCTCCTGTGATCGCCGCTCTGTCTACGTTTATTATCACGTTACATTTATTATTATAAGTTAAGAGCGATTGAGAGCGATTAAGATATACACAAATTTATTCTATGGATTATAGAATTTTTTATGTGCTCAGAGAGCAAATCACAAAAGAAAAACTTTTTAAATAAATTATAAATCTTTGTGTGACCATGCTAAAAACATTATTTTATCGCCTTTGAAAATTTTAACTGGGCTTGTTGTTGGTGTTGCGCATCTATATAGAAGTTGTCGGTGCTAGTATATAGCAATAATTATAACAATTTGATCATTACATATAATCTTTTTACCTCTTTTTTTGCGGCTATTCCTAAATTTAAGTCTATTGCTCTAAAATTTGGCCGACTTCCAATAAAACCGTCTTCAATGCGTTGGATTAAAGTCTGTAGTAGAATTTTCAAGATCATTAATTGCAAAACATAATACGCTGTTTTTTTTTGTATGGATTATGTATGAAAACTTCATTTATGGCTACACATTTATGCAGTTAATTATGATATTATAAACGGACTAATAATGTATAAAATAAAATTTTGCAAATATTTAATTGTAAAAAAATCCAGTTTGCCTAGGTTTCATAGGCTCGACGAATTATTGAGAAATATTAAATTCTAAAATTAATTCTAAAGTTTAATTTTTAATTGTAATGTTAAGTTAATCTTTTGGCAAAAATTAATATGATTCATTAATATCAATATTATTAATTATTTAATTAAATTAATCGAATAATTTTAAACTTCCGTCTTCGAGCATCAAACGTATCAAAATACTTAACAGATAATTTTGCAATATAACAAATGATGTATTTTGAAGATTGGAGAAGAAGAAGTTTTGATTACAGACAATCTTAGAAGCAATGATAACCAATATTGCTTGTGGCCATGATAGATCGGCTAAAATTTGCCAAATTCAACAAAAATTAGTATAAATACTAATGCGAATGTACAAATCAGTATCAGTCAAGCAAACGTCTATAGTTTGTATTAACTAAAGAATCGAAATAAAAAATAAATACATAATTAAAATGGTAAAAATATTTAATTAACTGCAAAAATTGAAATTATTTTTGAAATCTTTAAATTTCGTTTTCTACAGAAATTCTTTATATTGGCATGCGTTTTTGTGGTAGCCACTTGCAGTGAACAATCACCAAACTCGGAATATTTACCACCGAACCAGGATTTTGGTGCCATCGCTGCACCATCAAATGAATATCTTGCACCAGCTGTGGAGGAGCAAACAGCCTTCGGTAGCGATGGTTACCGTTATAGAGCCGTACATCGTCTTAGACATCGTCACCGCCGTGATGTAAGTGAATTACCCAGTGCCGAATATTTGCCACCAAATGAGGATTTCGGCGATCAAAGCTTTGCCGCACCATCCAACGAATATTTGGCACCTGCTGCTGATGAACAATTTGGTACTGAATTAGCTGATGATGGTTATCACTACAAAGTAGTACGTCGTTTCCGTCATCGCAGTCGTCGTGATGTCAGCGAATTACCCAGTGCCGAATATTTGCCACCAAATCAAGGCGTCGCTGCCCCTTCCAATGAATACCTAGCACCAGCTGAAGAACAAACTGTTCTGGCTAATGATGGCTATCGTTACAAGACTGTGCGAAAATTCAGAACTCATCGTAAATAATTCCATATTTATTTTTTAATTTGCGGCTTCCAAATGATTGTGTGATAAATTGTTACGATAATTTAAATAAAAAAAATATTTAAAATAATAATAAAAAAACGAAAATATTTATTTTTAACTCTTTAGAATGTGCACGTTTGAGAAATAAAATTTATGGAACCACGTGTGCCGCACTAGCCAATCTATAAGAAACGTAAACAGATTATCTGCTGTAGGTTTGTGCAAACCCATTAAATCTTCTGTTTCTTAATTAATATTTATAAATTCGGTTTTATTTAAATTTTTTTTAAAAGCATTTCACACATAATTTGCAACTTGAAACAGCGATGAACATATTTACGCGTGGCTGAGTTTAAATGATTATTTAAATCGACTCTTCTTAATGCTTCAATAAAATTTTGAAGCCCAATGAAATTAATGATCTATGCAGAAATTAAGAAGTCTTAATTCTTCTAAGACAACAGAAGAATGTACATCCTTTTCCTATGTAAGAAGATAATATACAAAATATATAAAGTTTTTGAATTAGAATTATTATTTATAAAGAAGTTCTTCAATCACAGTATAAGCTCAGAGTAGCTATTTTCAACTGATGATATAAAAAAAATACGTTGTTGCATATACACATGCTAAAGAGTTTAATGGTTCCACACTCAGCTGATGATGAAGAAAAGAGATTAGAACACATTATTGAATATATCTGAAAAAGAGGTTGAAGTAAATACTCTCAAGTGATCACATTGAAACAAAAGATTAGAATGCATCTTCGGGTACATCTGCTAAAGAGCTGGATGTAGCTGGAAATAGCTACTCCGAAATTATGGGATAGGAGCAAAAGATTGCAGTGTGTCTTTGGGCACATCTACTAAAGAGCTAAAAGTAATTACTCTCAACTGATACAATATAAAAAATAGATTGAAATGTGTTGTTGAATACATTTGGGAACTATTCTTAGAAATTCTATATTAGGAACTCTCCTGATAAAAGCAAAAATGAATTTGCCGAAATACGTATAGAAATATACAAAAACTTAACGCTTAAAATAAAAGTTAATAAAAAACTATAATATTAACTTTAAAACTATTCTTAACTAAAGAAATACAATGTGAAGAGATACAATGTGAATGATGAGATGTGTCTTTTATTTGTGGTATTAGTGCTTAGCACTGGTAGCTTTCCAGCAATGATGAAGATTGCAAAAGTTGTATAAGCACAGATAACACACAACACACTACATCTGTTTTTAAATAACATATGCTACTAGTCGGTTTATCTGCTATAAAGCTTGAAATAACTATTCTCAATTGATATGATGGAAAATAGCTTGGAACTTGTAATTGAACACGTTTTCATCTAAAGTCGCTAATGAATTATTAAAGAGTTTGTATTATATATTTACCACCTAGAATAAATGTGATGATTTAAATAAAAATAATAATGTTATAGAAAAGTATTAAATCTGATGATTCAAATAAAAATAATAATGCTAAAAAATAAATATCATATGTCAAGAAAGTTATGCACTTTTTTTATTAATTTTTGTGACTCCACTTTACCCGCAATGACAAATTTTAAAGTATATTATATCTTCTATAATTTCAATTTCTCTACTTTTACAGTGTTCTTTACGTTTTCCTTACAATGTTTTTTACAATATTCTTTATGTGTTCCTTACAGTGTTCTTTAAGGTGTTCTTTTCAATGTTCTTTAGAGTGTTCTTTAAGGTGTGCTTTTCAATGTTCTTTAAGGTGTTCTTTTCAATGTTCTTAACAGTGTTCTTTAGAGTGTTCTTTAGTTTCTTGACCATATAGAACAAACGAAAGTTTTCTTAATATTTTTCTGTGCTAAATTTAGAATTAATGTCACGATTTTGACACAAGGGAGAGATTATATTTATTTTAAATAAAGTTATTGAAAAAATGTACACTAAAAGGAAAAAGCAATAGTATATAGAAAATCCCAGCGGCTATCGTGTTCACATAACATAAATCTTTTTTTCCGTAAATGGAAGTAATTGAATATTCCATATTTATTTATGATATTCAATATTTATATATTAAATTCCACTAAAATCATGAAATGATTTAAATGATTGATACATATTTTACAAATACTTTTGGCTCCTTTCAAGAAAGTGGGAACAATTTAAAATAAGTAGAAAGCTGATAATTAACCTGCTTACAAGGAAAGCGGGACAATATCATAGAAACTGGTCCATGAAGTTTTCATCTCCAAAACAGATTGAACAAAACAAGCACTCTTAAAGAACGCACAAGTCATATATACTTTATATGAAGAAGTTGGTTAAATAAATATTTCAAAGTAATAAAAAAAATAAAAAAAAGTTCGTGCGAGGCAGCAACAAAAATGGCGAAATTCGCTATTTAAATTAATCAGTACTTGGATTAAATATTAGATTCATATCGATATGCTGTTGACTATCACTTTTGAAGGATGAGAGTAAAGATCACCGACATTCGTAATTTCTGCGAGATGTAGAGTGAAACTGTCGTCTATCTTATCTGCTCGTGGCCTGCGATTGCCAGAAAACGAGTAGAGTATTTTCTTTTTACTATCATTAAATCGAATGGTGTCTAGGATCCAGAACAAAAAGAGATATACTGGTTTCTAAGTAGCCTTAATTTTTCTAAGTTCACTTACGAGGCCCTTTAGGTATAACATAATGAACTTATAGGTGGCACTGTACTATTGTCTTTGCAATAAATATTATTGTAATAATAATAATTTTTACAATAATAAATTTATTTATAATTATTATAGTCTTATTAGAATTATTATTACATAGTGTATATAGTGTCTATATTTTTATTTAATTTTTCTATCGTGGTAGTCATATGTCGTGGTCAAAATGATAAATTTCACTGAATGTCTTGAACTATAGATTACCAAAATATGTGAGACGTCTGAAATAATCATAAATTTTGCTTATACTTCTTAAAAAGCTCTTTCTTGTACAATATAGCTTTCTCTAACATAGTTTAATTGGAAACATTAGTGAAAATTTGATTAAAAAATTTTATTTTTCTAATGTTTTAAAATTTAGACGAATAATAAAAAGAAACTATTTTATGTTTAGGACATAAAACAACAGCAAATCAGATATATTAGAACGTCCTTTTTCGAGAGCTGTTTAGCGATCAAACGCTTTTTGTCCAAATGTCTTATACTCATTTGGACTCATTTATATAATTTAGTTATTTATTTAGATATTTAGTATGGTCTGGGCTCCACTAAAAGTTCAGACCCCTGTGACTTTCTATTTTGTATGATTTACCTATTTATTCTAAAGTAATAGCATATTTTATTAGTTTCCCAGATATAGGTATGCTTTGAGTTGTACTATAACACAAGCAGATATGAATACTAGTAACCTTAGGAAGTTACTTTAGGAATTTTGCAGAATTATAATTTAAATCAAAAATATCCTAAAATTTTATTTAGAATTTAATTGTATTCCTAATTTTTTTATAACAAATCGTAGACTCTCTTCATCAATTATAATACTTAGAATTTCTTAGGCTCTTGAGATATTTGATGTGTTTCTAATATCATTCAAAAATTTTAATTACAATACTTAAGATTTTGAATTTAAATCTATTTAAGGAAGATTTAATGTTCATTTCTAATTTTAGATTTCCAAAAATAAAACCGATATAAAAAGTAATTAAATAATTGCTGCCACTCAGTTGCTATCCAAGATTTAATAATGAAGTGCTTTCAATCCAAATTATTGCCACAGATAAGATCGTCTCGTTACAATGCAGAGAAGAGAATAACAGAACTTTAAAAATCAAAAAAAAAAATTACTTTTTATATACATAATATAAAAAATATATATTTTTAGTCCAATTTTTTTTTTAATTTTGCCAATAAAAACTCAAGAATCAATTTCAACACTTTTTTGCCCTTCATGATCACTCAATGATCGCACAAATACAATATTTAAACCATAAAAGATGATCGATCAATTGCAAAAGATTTAAACGGATATAATAAATACTGATGATGATCAGATTAAGAAAAAAATATACGGGTATATAAAAAGCGTAAAGCAAAATAGTAACAAAATATTTTATAATAAAAAAATATTTTATTTTATTTTTTGTTTTATTTTTTTTTGTATATTTCGTTAATTTAAATTGTTATTACTTAACTTTTGTTCTATAAGAGAGAGGTAAGGGCACTTACCTGTATTTAAATTATTTAAATTTTATTGAAGTGGTTGAGTTGATGTACCTCGCAATCGTCAATATGTACATAAATAACAAAACAAAAAAAAAACAACGATATAATATTAATAGATTTATAGCCAAATACATACTAACAAAAAAAAAATAGCAAAAATAATAGATTGGGAGTCAGAAGTGTTAACAGCAACGGCAACATGATCACCAGCAGCAACAGCGAAATTAACATGTTCACGATCAACAGCATGATCGTCATAATGATCTTCCCTCATAAGCCAGTGCTTTATATGCGTAAATTAACTATTTCATGAGCTGAGATTTGAAAATTTGGCAAAAGCAAATTTAGAATTCTAACTTCTTGTTTCCCAGCTTGGCAGCTCAATGGTGTTTTGGTATAAATACGCTCTGCTTACTGTCTCTAATCATCAATCGTTTTTCATTTGAGGAAGGTGAACAACCAAAGAAATGGTACGAAACTTGAGGTTTTGAACTCTTACAAAATTCTATAAAATTTTATAAGAAAGACTAAAAGTTACTTTGAAAGACTAAAAAAAATATACTAAATAAATAATTTAAAAAAATTAAAAAACTACATTTTGCGTTATCAAAAATACTTATTTAGTGTTTTTATTTACATTTAGAAATTGTTAATCGTCGCTTTGGCACTTTTTGCCACCGCTTATGCTGCCTTACCATCGAATGAATATTTACCACCATTAGAGGATGCTGCTCCAGCAAGCAATGTGGATTTACAATCATTATCCGAAAGCAGCCCTTTGGCTGATGATGGCTACCGTTACAAGACAGTGAAACGTTATCGTTTCCGTCACCGTCGCGATGTCAGCGAATTGCCATCTAATGAGTATTTACCACCAGTAGCAGCTGCACAACCTGTTGCATCCGCACAACCCGTTGTGGACATTCCAGTTGCTGTTGAGGAATCTGCACAAGACTCTGCTGTCCTCGCCGATGATGGTTATCGTTACAAGACCGTCAAACGCATACGTTACCGTCATCGTCGTGATGTCAATGAACTTCCCTCAAATGAATACTTGCCACCTGTAGCCGCTGTTGAAGAAGCACCAGTTGCCGTTGAAGTTCCAGTTGCCGTTGCACAAGAATCAGCTGTTCTCGCCGATGATGGTTATCGTTACAAGACCGTCAAACGCATCCGTTATCGTCATCGTCGTGATGTCAATGAACTTCCATCAAATGAATACTTGCCACCTGTAGCCGCTGTTGAAGAAGCACCAGTTGCCGTTGAAGCTCCAGTTGCCGTTGCACAAGAATCAGCTGTTCTCGCCAATGATGGCTATCGTTACAAGACCGTCAAACGCATACGTTACCGTCATCGTCGTGATGTCAATGAACTTCCCTCAAACGAATATCTACCACCAGTAGCTGCCGTCGAAGAAGCACCAGTCGCCGTTGAAGCTCCAGTTGCCGTTGCACAAGAATCAGCTGTTCTCGCCGATGATGGTTATCGTTATAAGACCGTCAAACGCATACGTTACCGTCATCGTCGTGATGTCAATGAACTTCCCTCAAACGAATACTTGCCACCTGTGGCCGCTGTTGAAGAAGCACCAATTGCCGTTGAAGCTCCAGTAGCCGTTGCACAAGAATCTGCTGTTCTCGCCGATGATGGTTATCGTTACAAGACCGTCAAACGCATCCGTTATCGTCATCGTCGTGATGTCAACGAACTTCCCTCAAACGAATACCTACCACCAGTAGCTGCAGTCGAAGAAGCACCAGTTGCCGTTGAAGCTCCAGTTGCCGTTGCACAAGAATCTGCTGTTCTTGCTGATGATGGTTATCGTTACAAAACTGTGAAACGTTATCGTTTCCGTCATCGTCGTGATGTCAATGAACTTCCCTCAAACGAATACTTGCCACCTGTAGCCGCTGTTGAAGAAGCACCAGTTGCCGTTGAAGCTCCAGTAGCCGTTGCACAAGAATCTGCTGTTCTCGCCGATGATGGTTATCGTTACAAGACCGTCAAACGCATCCGTTATCGTCATCGTCGTGATGTCAACGAACTTCCCTCAAACGAATACCTACCACCAGTAGCTGCAGTCGAAGAAGCACCAGTCGTCGTTGAAGCTCCAGTTGCCGTTGCACAAGAATCTGCTGTCCTTGCTGATGATGGTTATCGTTATAAGACCGTCAAACGCATACGTTACCGTCATCGTCGTGATGTCAATGAACTTCCCTCAAATGAATACTTGCCACCTGTAGCCGCTGTTGAAGAAGCACCAGTTGCCGTTGAAGCTCCAGTAGCCGTTGCACAAGAATCTGCTGTTCTTGCCGATGATGGTTATCGTTACAAGACCGTCAAACGCATCCGTTACCGTCATCGTCGTGATGTCAATGAACTTCCCTCAAATGAATACTTGCCCCCTGTAGCCGCTGTTGAAGAAGCACCAGTTGCCGTAGAAGCTCCAGTTGCCGTTGCACAAGAATCTGCTGTCCTTGCTGATGATGGTTATCGTTACAAGACTGTGAAACGTTATCGTTTCCGTCATCGTCGTGATGTTAACGAACTTCCCTCAAACGAATACTTGCCACCTGTTGAAGAAGCGCCTGCTGCTGTTGCTGAAGAAACAGCTCCACTTGCTGATGATGGTTACCGTTACAAGACTGTGAAACGCGTAGTATACAGACGTCGCGTCTAAACAACAATTTCAATGCCTAGGACTTAGCTTTAAGATAATTTTTAACACACGATTAAAGATTTAATTAGTTCAAAAAATAAAGTATTAAAAAATTTTAAAAAAAATTAATTATAATTTATTTTCAACGCTTGTCGCAGAAGTTTGCAATTTTGTAGTAGAAAGAATATAGTAATAATTTTTTTTAATTTCACACACATATGATTTGATACCAGTGACTAATCATATGGTTTGTGACCAATTTGATATGATATCCATTATCAGTCAGTCTTTGGTTTGGATAATGGGTAAATGTAGTAACGAAATCAATTAAATGTTAAGCGTGAGATTCTATTAAATATTAAATTTTATCTTTTAAATCTCATTATTTAAAAAACATGAATTTTTTGCACCCGAATTTTCATCAAATAATAATTTAATTAGAAAATTAAATTAAAAAAAAAAGAGTTCACCACCAGAAAAATAAAAAGAATTCACCACAGATGTAAACTACAAAGTTCATTGGGACTTATGTTATGTTACTATAAAAGATATTTCAAAAGAAAACTTATAGTAAAATTTGCGAATTTATTGTTAATATATTGTTGCTTAAAAACAAAATTATGTTAATAATTTTTTAAATTATTATCAGTGTATAGAAGTTGTTGGAAGTCGTAAAAGCTCTCAATAACTGCAATGACTCTAAAACTGCTCTGTCAGAGCTTTAACATTAAAAGCTTCAAGTTTTCTACTTTTAACGTTTAGATTTCAGGGCTGCCAAGCACCCTAATTTTATGACAAACGAAGTTTTTTATGTCCACACAATTTAACATATTTTTATAAATACAAGTATTTATAAAAATTCTACAGTAGACATTTAACATGTTTAAAATGTTAAAAAATATGTATTTGAACTATTAAAATCTTGAATTGATTTTAAAATTGTAATGCAAATATCAGATTATTATTAAGTACTATGTTCTAGGCGTGAACTCGTGGTGAGTTTTCATCCAAATGTTTACTCTTGCCTACTTTCGGTATGAAGTTAAATAACGTGTAACGCTCAATTAATAGAAAAAGTTGTACCCTGCTTTGTTTTACCTAAAAAAAAGCCAAAGAAAGACGGGCGCATATTAAAAACTGAAATTTGCATCAAATTTTGAAATGTTTTTTATAGAAAGACTAGCAATGTTTATTGAATCCGCAACCAATGATTTTGAAATGTCAATAAATCCCGATATTGTAACGCCACTTTCAACTCTCACACTCAGTCACTTTCTGCAGTCTTCCAACAACGATTTTATCATATATTTATCGCCAAGATAAACCAGCTGCGCAAGAATTTTTATAGGACATATATGCTTACTTAATATATCATTAAAATAGATATAATATAAAAACTATCGAAAAGCACTTGGCTCGACATCAACTATTGTAATTTCACAATTCTTCTCTTTCTACATAATTTCCTTCAAACATTGTTTTGAAAACTTCCGACGATTTTGCAAAATATTTTTTATGACCAGATATGCATTGTATTTCATTTCTCTTTTTGCCCACAATGAAACTGCAGTCGGTGGGTTCTTTGATCAAGTAATTAAGTTCTAGATTTTCTAGCTACTAGGAAATGATTGCAAAATGTATTAAAAGATTTGCAAATATTGATTTTTATCTTATATTTTATGATTTGCTTCACTTCCGATTTATTTTTATTTCTTCTGACAGCAATAGCCGACATTGCAGATTTTCCGGTTTGTGGTTTATGTACGAAATTATGGAATCAAGTTGGAAGCACCAAACTCAGTTTATATAGTTTATGTCACGTCAAAATTTTTGAACTACAAAAAATTTCCCATTTTGTCTAGTGTTGTAAGTGTATTATTTATTAATAAAGTTTATATATATATTCCCTTACATAACTCATATCAGTAAAATTATGGGATATATCATTGAAAAATACTTTACATACTACGGCCGTGTGCGAGTTTGAGTAAATTATAGTAAAGTAAATTGAAATTTCCTAGAGATTTTTTGCACTCCACTTATTTATTTATTTATTTATTGCACTTATTTATTATTTTTGGTTAAAAGTTTTCAAGTTTATTTATTTATTAATTATAAAATGTTTAAATTTTCACAATGGTAACACCCAATTTACCTAATTCTTATCTAATTTACCTTACTCGAAATACTGGTAAATACCAACATTCGCTGCAATACTGACATAATTAACTACTTTTCTCAATTTACCATCAATTTACTCGAATTCGTACACCGCCTACATACAAACACATACAACTTATTTTTAATAGATAAAATTTTTAAGTAATTTCGATTTTGATTTCGAACACAAAAAAGGACCCATAGGCTAGCGAATGTTGACGTTTAATGACTATTTTTTTATTTTTTTTTTGTTACTTGGTATCACAGGAAATTATTTATGCTTGTTAGGCGCTATTGTGCTATGTCGCCACTTAAATATTATGTTCCCACTGGCTTCATTTACGCAGTTTTATTAATTGCTCTTCGTTTATGAGAATAATTTACATGTAAAGAAAATTTTTTATATTACAAAATTAGTTTCTTTTGTCAAAATGGACGCTAAAAGAGAATTTAGTAAATTAAACATGCAATATATATATTGTGAAAAGTAATGCTATTTATTGTTTTTTAATAATTATTGATTTTTTCCTATGCATTACACGATATTATCTGTATGCACCTATTGTTTTATTCATATTGTAAACAATTTCACATTTTCTACGTTTTCCAAGCTGAATAAATGTATTTCCATGAACAGCACAAAAATAAATATCATCTGCTTACAATTGAATTATAAACAACAAAAAGTTCTCCTAAAACTTTTACATTACTTTCTGACACATAAAAGCTGTTTCACATGCATAAATCCGCTTATGCCTATGGAAACGCTCATATATTAATTAGATTAACATAAATAGTTTAAGCTGTAGTAGAAATATTAGAATCTATCATGTATTAGTGTGGATGTCCTATAATATTAGTAAAGCTTATGATATGCAGATCCTCTAACAATCATCAATAACATTTGCTGCTCCGTTCAATGTTGGTTAAAACTTTTAAAACAAAAACAATGTACATAAAATAATATGGACCTAAGAGTTAGTATAACCGCTGAATGACGTATCGTTACATTTGTTATTATTTTCAACACAATTTAAAATATTAAAGCCGTTGAAAGCAACAACAGATATATATATGAATTTTTGATCGTCTGCATAATATAACCCTGAAAATATATCTGCCCAAAGAGACACAAAAAAGAAATTGAAATTTATAGTGGATTTACATAAGAATTATGTTTGTGTTATAAATTTTTATTTTGCTTTTAAACCACCAACAATTGATAGCTAAAATTATAAACAAAACTCTTGTGTATATATAACATTATTTAACAAATTTTAATACACATAAATATGCAACTTTTAAAATTTATTTTATACGGATTTTAAAATCGATTTTATAGTAGAATCAAACTAGAGTTTTTTTTGTAATTTTAGCTGTCATGTTTGCAATTTTAGCTGTCAATTGTTGTTGCTTTCATTTTGCATTAAAAGTAACAACAATTGATAGCTAAATTTACAAACAATACTCTAGTGTCAATCCAATATTAGAGAGTTTACATACAAAAAATAAAAAATTCTTTTCGTAGTATTTTTAGACTTTAGATTTCACTTTTTATATAATACTGGATTCACATGAGAGTTTAGATTGTAATTTTATATTCAGTATAATGAGAGTTTTGTTCGTAATTTTATCTCTCAATTGTTGTTGCTTTAAAGACAAAATGAACATTTTTGACAGCTAAAATTACAAACAAAACTCTCGTGTGTATCCAGTATCAGTTTCTTTTTTTTTTTTTATCTTTGTCTAGTATTATCATACAATTTTATGTAGTTACACAAAATTTTGTGTAATTTGTGTAATTGTACTTGTTGGTTTTGTATGATTTTTGTTTACAAAATAACAACTCTGTTTGTGTGTTTATCGTGTGCACTGCGTTGTCTTATCTTGTGCAGTGCGGCGAGAATATTTTGTTTATTGTGGAGCGTTGAATGAAAGTTCTGATATTATTTGTGTCGGCGAGTGCGGTATTAATTTAATGTTTCTGGGTACCTTGAAATTGCCATTCATTTCCTTATAGTAATTGTGTGAGTGAAATAATATGCATTATATATAATTTATATACAAATACTATCTAAGTGCCACTAAAAATATTTCAAATAAAATTGTTTACTGCATTTAAAATTTTTTCTTGAACTGCACGAGTATTTTATTGTTGATTTTATTAAAAAAATTGAATTATAATTGATAAAACGTTAAACTATTTAATTGTTAGAAAATTTAATAATTTTTTTTTTGTTGTAATAAATAATTGAAACATACGAAAGAAGGCCAAAAAAAGCCGCTTTATTGCGTGCCTCCAAAGTGTAAACACGCTGATACCATTGACCTTTATTTGACTTTTATCAGAAATTTTGTTCTTGTCTTTTACTTGTTCGGTTATAGCACAGAAGTTTGAATTGCTTGACTTGTAGTGGCAGCAACAGCAGTAGGAGCTGAAGAGGAATAGCAAGTGGTGTACAAGGTAAGTTCAAAAAATGTAAAAATACTTTAAAATTTCCATATAATAAAAACTAGTTTTAATTTTCTTTTTATCATGAAAAGTGGATTGAAAATAATTTGTATTAAACCAAGTGCATTTCCCAATAAGAAACTAAGTGCGTAAAAAGGTGTGAAAGGAATTAAAATTTTTCAACATTGACCTTTATTGAAAGACGAAAATAATTTATGTTAATTTATGCAAAAATGTTTATGCATTTTGTTTTTTAATTGATTAGTGTTTCATTTAATTATTAATTCTGTTAATTTAACATTGACTTGTGGATTCGGTGTGATTTTGCGTAGTTTTATCAGAAAAGTGGCCGTGTGTCTTTTGAACAGCTGAGCAAACGAGCGACAACAACAAGCACAAGGGTGGGTTGGTTGTT